GGTGGGGGGGAGGGAGATTTTAAAAGAAAAAATGAGGACTAGTTTGGGTAAGTTCAGGATTCTTCTTGAGACATAAGCACTACTAACTGGGTCCCCTGTGCCCTGGGCCTGTCTGGGGCCAGAGGCAGTTTTGCACTGGTCACGGAACTGCTAGGACAATTGACTAAAACAAGCAAGTTCTAGTGCTGTGATTCACTGAGCAATGATTTATACGCACTATTGCCTATGTTGTTTTCAAGATTACATAAAAGGGGAAAGTAAGCATACCCGAGAGCTTACTAAAGGTTAAATTATTAAAACGGTCAATTGAAATATTTACTGTCTGAAATTGGGATGGGGTGATGAAACATGAGGGGGTTGGCTTATACACCTTCAGGTCTATACGCACACGCAACATGAGCTTAAAAAAGGTCCTGGCTGGATGGATTCCTCAGCTTTTTGGGGAATCTGAGAAGGAAATGGGGAAAGTAAGCAGGTGCAACTATATAGTTCTTAATAGTTCTATATGTAACTATATAGAACTATATAGTTCCCCACCTGAAGCAGAAGTCTTGTTCAGATGATTAAATGTATTTTGATCTTAGTTCTTGTCTTGCAGCAACTCTGAGAACCTTGGGACTTTCTATATGTAGGGTGTTAACATGTGTCTTTTGCTGTGGTAATGAAGGTAACTTTTGGCAAACACCAGAGATAGGTGGCTGGTTACCAGAGCCAACCTTGTGGGTAGGTTGGGACCTTCTGCCTCATCCTAATTTTCTGGCAGGGGAGAAGGAATAGAAGTCAAGTCAATGGCCAGTGATTTTAGTCATACCTAGCAAAGTCTGATAAAATCCCAGGAAGTGTTAAGGGGAAAAATGTCCTAAAGGAACTCTGCAGTCTTATGGACTCCACCTCCTACTCCAGCTTTCTGGACCCTACCCCCTACTTCAGCGATTGGAAACTACAACTCCCAGCAGTACCAGGGAGAGAACTGGGAGGACCCAAGGGCGGAGCTAGCAGGAATTCTGGGACATTTGGGGGATAACTAGGGCATGATGGCATATCTTGCTCTCTTACTGGGGAAACAGCTCTCTGGACCTGCGTGCCTCAGTGTGTTCAGTCAGCCTAGCCCTAAGGTATTCCAGTTACTTTGTATTCCGCTCTCTTTCCCTGGGTTGTTGCCTATCCCTTTCCCTTTTTGTAAATAAACCCGTTGTTGACCATTTTTGTGCGTGTACCTGCAGTGTAATTGAATATTGAGCACATGGGTGAGGCCCCACAGACAGGCAGCCCAGTCCACTCTGGGTTACCCTGTAACAGAAGGACTTCAGAATCTGCACAATGCTGCCTTGTCAGACCCCAAGCTTCACTAGGACAGAAGCTCCAGAATCTCACACTTTATGCTTGTAAGGAACCTCTGATTGATAGCCAGGAGGTAGAAGCAGGTGATCTGGCCTTGCAATGGACACCTGAAGCCTGAGGAAGGGGTGACAGGAATTTCCACATCCATAGAATTGGTGAGAAACACAGGTAACTGCTAGTAGCTTAGGGCTACTCTGTGAAGTAAAGGAAAGTCTTGGCAGACTGAGCCTTTAAGCCCTGGTAACTGACACTATTTCCAAGCAGAGTGTATCAGAATTCTGAGCTGAATTCTCAAGGGTCTGAGGACTACATTTTGGTGCAGGAAAGCCTCCACACCTCCTCGGGCCCAACAACATACCCATTTGTCTCCAACCCACTATTCCATCTTACTTTTACTCATTAAGCAAGCATTTGAGTATGTCTACATCATTTCTCGGTGTTAGGGGTACAATAATGAACTAGATTCCCTCTTGGGAACTTAAAAGTTGAGCTGGGATTAAAATGGGAAAGATGAAAGAAACTGCCAATTTATGAAAGTGTTTGCTGGGGGAAAGAGAAATAAACGTTGGCGGGCAGCAATGAGCTTGGGGATTTGGAGAACCTACACGGCATAGACAAAGGAGGACTAGAAAATGACGTAACTAGTATGAGTTGGCCAATAAGAAATATTTAGGGCCCGTCTTGGTTGGCGCAAAGGGTTAGTATGCAGCATTGCAAACTAGCTGCAGCTGCTTCAGTGAGAGTTCGATTCCTGCCCTGGAGGTGACCCACATGGTACAGCAGCCCTCTCCTGACATGCCCACTGCTTCCCTCAGCAGTGTACTTCGTCGATCCTCCTGTTCTACTCCCCACTTGGTCTCTGGTATATCTTTTCACCGCCCCTGCACCTTCGGCCAGTACCCCAGTTCTGTGTGCATAAATAAGTAAACCTTTAAAAAAAGAAAAAAATTGGCCCTTCCTGGTGGCGCAGCGGGTTAAAGCACTGCACTAAAAAGCTTAAGCCACTTCTGCATGAGTTCAACCCCCGCCTGCCCTGGAGGTGACCACATGGCGTGGCAGACCTCTCCTGACCCGCCCGCTGCTCCCCTCAGCAGTGTACTTCATCCATCTGCCTGTTCTGCTCCCCACTCTGTCCCTGGTGAATCCTCTCACCCGCCACATCTCTAGCCTGTACGCCAGTTCTGTATGAATAAATAAATCTTTAAAAAAAAATTAAAAAAAAATTTAGTGGCATGGGGTATGGTGCCAGCGGCGGAGAGAAAACAGTTTTTGCGGTTACATCTCTTGTGAAACCAAGGGTGGCTCCAGGTCGGCTCAAACACCTGCCTAAATGCAATGACTGACTCACATACTGAACTGAAGGCTGGAGGCAAAGGGGCTCATGGGAGAAAAGTGAAAAACTCCATATGCTGTTTTCGAGTAAAATTCCTTATTTTCCCCAACCCCTGCCTTTTTGAAAATAACATTCCCTCTACCTAAAATGTTCTTCTCTCCCTCCATTATCCCCACTCATGTTAGTATCAACTCATCTTCCAAAGCCACCTCTAAAAGTAACCTATCACTTCACACATTTATCCCATGTTCAATACCTCACTCTGCTAGACTTTTTGGACATTTCTCTCTTACAGTGTATAATACTTCTTACTCTCACTAAATCACACATCATTGTCAGAATAAAAGTTTCTTGTCTTAACAGCCTATTTCTAACCACAGACTTGAGCATTTTATATACGACATGGAGAAAACTAATAATCTGCAAATACTTAGTCTTATCTTAATTACAAAACCTTTACACATAAAGACTTCTACGATTTCACTAATACATAATATTTAACATAAAATTTAAGGTTATAAGAGTGATTCTTTTTGCATATAATAGCTGCAAACTAAACCAATCAACTTCAGGAAAACATTGAAAAATAATGTAACACTTAAAATAATACAAAACTGCAAATGAAATAAATAGAAATTAAGTAGATCAATTTATTTTTTTGTATATTTCATAAGTATAATTTTTGAAGGGGCTATTTGACAAATTTCAGCATCAACTGCCAACTCAAAGACATTTTCAACAAAAAAAGGTTATTTACTCTTGTCTCTTTTAAAAATACAGCCAATGTGTCCTACTGCAGAGATGAGGGTGTATTAAAGGAATAGTGTCTTCCAAGTACTATTTAACTAGTAACATAATACAAACAGATGGTTATTATGATCACCAGTTATTTACGGAATAAATCTCATAGGCCGACTGACCTAAAATGCTCAAACTAAAATCCATTTTTAAAGCCTAGATTAACAATTCCAGAGCAAGACTTCTTTGATCCTAAATTTACAAAGTATGGTGGGGTGTCGGGGGCAAAAGGTGTATGGGCAAAGACTGGCAGTGCATGCTCAGTTGTAGAACTAAATCAGACTCATATTAGACATTATCCAGATTAGAACCGTATTTTTGAACAATAAAATGTGCCTTAGTTGTTACATATTAGGAAGGATATTAAGGACTGATAATTCATCAGCCCTAAATACCATGTAATCAGTGCCAGTTGTGAGTTTAAGAAATAACCAGGAGCATGGGGATGAGATAAAATAAGTGAAATAAGGCAAATGAAAAATGGAAGAAATGTGGTTGAGTTTGGGGAATGTATAAGTCTGCCAGAGGAACAGCTTTCATTGCACTCAGATGTGCTCTTTGCAGAGGTTACCTGCCCCTGGACCACCAAGCAATATGGTTAGAGCAGAAATCTAAGTAGCAATTACATTTCATCTTAGATTTTATAACCATGCATTTGTGTTAAAAACAGTGTGATTTAACAGAAAGGATCAATAAATATTCAGAGGTATAGTTTTGATACATCAAGTAAAAAGAGCAGCTAGTTCCAACTGCTGAATAACAGAGGCTTTACCAGTCCTCTTCAATGACTAGTTAAGACTTAATTTTAGGTCAGCAGCAGGAGGGTGTTGGTAACTTGCACATAGATTACAAACACACTCCTTCCAAATCAATCAAAACAATCCAACAATCTGAACTCTCCCAACATGCCAAGAATTAGAAATGTTTTAGATGTAGCCTTCATAAACTTTCATAAAACTGTATAAGAAAGCACAAGCTAGTATCAAAGTTATGTCAGACTTTAGTTAATTTTCTTGACATATGATGTTTATTACACATTTTGAGTAAGATGATTAAATTTAGTAATTTCTAAAACCACAGCCTATAAGCTCCTCTAATCAAACAATGGTAAAACAGCCTACAAAACCCATCTTCAATAAACTCGACTTTGAGGCAGAACAAAAATTAGAAAATCTAAAACCTCTCTATTCCAAGCACCAATAATGGAGGCTAAACACTCACCTACAAAGCCTTAATGATAGATCTTTCCAAATGGGAAATCCTGAGATTTTAAGCACTGTAACTTTACAGAAGGCAGGTTGGTTTAATGAACAAATTCACTTCTAATAAAAAGACAACATTTTGGGCACTTACTCAGTATATCACAGATCCTCAAGTTTTGAGGTAGGTTATATATTAACAATGGATTTTACAAACTAAAACTCAGAGTTTATCTGAACCACAGTAGGTGTCCTATCACAGTCAAGAAAAACATGTATTTCAGATCTTTTTATCTTTTTTTGATGTGTGAATTTAATGGTGATAGCTTACAAATATTCATTTAAAAAGACTGGGCTTTACAGAAATTCTGCTTTTGATTATCTTATTTTTCAAAGTCCCACAGAGATATTGGGGAATAACTTCCTGCTCCCATTAAAGTACATTTTTATGTAACTGATCATTAAAGTGAAATTAGCATACAATAATTTCGTAGTGTGGGTGGAACATACTATATTAGCATAAAATCCTCAGAGCACTAGACAGCTTACAAGTGCAGGTGCTATGCTCAAGGCACCATCTCAACAATTTCAGAGTCAAGGGAAAGCAGGTATACAAATAGAGCCAAGATTCAGAAAAGATGCCTGGATCCAAAGGGCAGGAGGCTCTATCCAAATCAAAGATGAATTATAGTTATCATTTCAGGCTACTGATTCTCATTATCATGCTATTGCACTTTGCAGTGGGAAAAGCTCCTAAAAGAGCAGTGACTTTGTATCAATAAAGTCTGTTAATCAAAGTTCTTACTAGGTAAATGACAAGTAAAACTGATTTTATTAAAGTGGTATTTAGAGAAGTAAATTACTTTGTCACAATCCTACTTCACTTTAGCTCATCATTAAATTTATCAAATTTAGTTTATCTTGACATAGGTTCCTAGGTTAGGTATCTCAAGTATTTGTTGTTTCATGATCAAGTTTTTTATTTAAACAATTGGTGATTAGTAATAATACAGGATTAACAGTGGTTAACAATTGAGAAATATTAACTTCACTGTGTTATGAAACACAGCAAATTTAAAAGGATATAAATCACTTTGCTTGCAATCAGACTGAAATAGCACAGCCTAACATGATTTGAGTCAAAGTAAGAAAAAAAGGAGGGAGGGGCCACAGGAAGCAGAACACCGAAGCTTTTTATTTTAATGCCCCCAAATTTGACTGGAAGTAAAAATTTTCTACATTAAAAAAGTCATATAAATTACATGAATTGCAATTTTCATAAAAGTCAAAATAAAATGTTCTGCATAGGACAAAAGATATGCCTAAGCAACATATCATATTTGCACAAGGCCACTGAATGTCACGAATATCGGTAACAAATGAAAAAGCTTATCTATGGCAGACTGAGCAAGATTTCAGTTTGGTATTCCATAAACCCAAAATTGTAAACTGCTCTTATTATACAAAAGCTCTAATGACATACAGAGTTTTACGTAGGAACTCTTGTGCTTCTGGTTGGCACATCATTTGTTTTAATATGTGAAATTAATACAGACATTTGTGAGAGGTTGTGCAAAATTATTGTATTTACAAAAATGGCACAAAAGTGAATTCAACAGTCGATGCACATGCACACTCCATTCACATCTTCAACAACAAAAGTATTTTAACACTACAGAACTGAATAAGATGACTAGCTTCAACAGCAGCTGTTAAGCACTAGAGTCACGTAAGTTACACCAGAATGGGCAAATATTGCCCAAGTAAAATTCTATCATTAAAGCTGAGACAGGTTTAAGGCCGTTCAAGCTCAAGCACAGAGAAACAAATCTTTTAGATTCCCTCTATTTGTTTGAAATATGTGACCTCCCTTCCAACTTGTGGTCTTAAACTTCTGTTTTACAAAATCCAAAGGTAAAATACAGAAGAAATCAATACAACAGAGGTTATATTACATAAGAGTAACATATACAAAGATATAATTAAGGAAAGCCAAAACATTGAAATTTTAAAACTTGCTGTTTTTACTTGTTGGAACCAGCCTTACACTAAGAGTTAGGTAATATATACAATTATTTTCAAGTAGATTACGTTATGTTGCTCTAACATATTCTTTTCATCAGTGCACTGTTAAAACTAATCAAAACTCTACACATGTATATTCCCTTACAATAGCAGCATATACTACCGCTACCTGCAAACCTGTCACTCTCAAATGACGTAGTGAATGAAAGGAAATAAAAGCAGAGAATTAACATATCAAGGAAAAATAATAGGAATTAGAAGATTCATGCAGTTCAGCTCTTTTAATCAGCCAGCCAGCTTGCTAGTAACAAGGGATGGTTTCCGTTGAGGAAGGTCCTGTGGAGTGGGAATGTGGTCACCAGTAACCTCTGTCTTATCCGGGGCTGCAGCAGGAAGTTGCTTGTTCTTCATTTTTGCTTTAGCCATGTTATAATCCCCAGAATCAAAATATTTTTGCTATAAGGGAAAAAAAAAAGAGAATTTAGAACTAGAGTTTAAAAGTTTTAATATGCAAATTTGCTGATTTAAAGATATGTGACCTTAATTACAGATATAAACAAGGTAACTATTTCCTCTATTACCAACGTAAAAATTGTGATGAGCTAAAAAATCAACCTTAATATAAGTTAAAAAAGATGAATTTACCTTATATTATGACTCTGACCTATGTTTAGCCTATCTTTACTAAGCACTTGTCATACATGAGGTGCAGTGTGAGTGCTGGAGAGAAACACAAAGATGGATAATAGTCAAGTAAACCATCTATTGTATTTCTGTACACTAGTTGCTACAGATACTCAAAAGGAAGGAACCAAATTCTAGAGTGGGAAAAAATAAATAATTTAAGTGTAAGATAAAGGCCTGATCAAAAGGTGAAGGGGGAGGCAAGAAAGAGTCCTGGAATGTCAGGTACATCTCATGTGGCAATGGAGTAGCTAGACCTCACAGCTTAGTGTGAAATTGTTGAGTGGTCCAGGAAAAGATCTCACTGGTTGCCTCCTTCCAGTTTCTATTACCTAGTAAGTCAGACTTGGCCCAAGGCCAGAGTGTCTAAAGTTAGCTTTTCAATTGTCACTATATATTTAATGCATTGGATACCAAACAAAACAAAACAAAACAAAACAAAACAAAACAAAACAAAACAAAACAAAACTGGACCAAACCCTTTCCAAGGCTTACTTAAGCTTTTGAATGTGTAGTTAAAGAAAAAAAATCTCTGATCTTCTGTATATTATTACAGAGATGCTTCTGAAGTAGTAGTGTCTAAAGGAGAATAAAACAGCTTGTTCCAATTTCTTAAAGAATCAAACCAGGGTGTTATGAGAAATATAACACCCTGCAAATTTGTTCCCCCTTAGTATAAAAGTTTATTTTATAGCAAGTAAAGTTTATCACAAAGAAATTTCACCTAATTGTAGATTAGATTACTCCATTGGGGGAAAAATTAAATTTATTTAACGTGGTTAAAGACAAAACTATAATCAACATCTAACAATTATAACTGTTCTAGGTAAAGGAATGAATTAGATCAATGTTTCTCATATCGGGATATAAACTAAGAAGGTGATATTTGTTGTCTTTAAAAAGACATTCTTGGCCCTCCCTGGTGGCGCAGCGGGTTAAAGCACTGCACTGAGAAGCTAAAGCTACTTCCGCATGAGTTCGATTCCCGCCTGCCCCGGAGGAGACCACATGGCGTGGCAGACCTCTCCTGACCCGCCCGCTGCTCCCCTCAGCAGTGTACTTCCTCGATCTGCCTGTTCTGCTCCCCACTCTGTCTCTGGTGAAGTCTCTCACTGCCCCTGAGTCTCTGGCCTGTACCCCAGTTCTGTATGTACAAATAAATAAATCTTTAAAAAAAAAAAAAAAAAGACATTCTTTTGTCACTTTAAATGTTCTAAGTTTCCAAATGAAAACCGCTGAAAGTTAAAACATTCTGGATCATCTGAATGATAATTTTATAAAAGCCTTCTTCAACACCAATTTAGGGATCACATTTATATTAATATAATTACTGACACCTATGCAATCGCCCTAAGTGACACAGTTTAACTTTTTAGGTTGTGTATCTTAAAACTAGATCCTCAGTTTTCTTGGGACAAATTTGAAAAACCATGGACTATAATGTTTATTCATATCCTTTCTAGTTCTGACAGATCACTATGCAATATATCATAACTGTTAAAGAGCCTAAAACAGACGTCAATCTTCCATGCCTCATAATGACATTAATGAGTTTAAAAGAGAAGGAAACCTAATACAAATATCTAACCAACTTTCTCAAATGAACAAGAAACTATTTAAAGTTATTATGGTAACTTACCAGCTTATTATGAGAGAAAAACCAAAACCTACGAAATTATGATTCAACTTAAAAAACAAACTCAAAACCTAAACTCTTTTAATATTAAAAATGGTAAAAGTTGAGTAACGCAATAGCCCACATACTGGAAGAATCAACAGGGAAAAAAATCTCCCTAAACATTACTAATCAAATTATAAAATGAAATAATAATTTAGTAGCTAACTAAAATCACAACTGATGGGGCCATTTCAAAATTAGGCTTGGTACAAAACACATTCTGCATGTATGTATTTGTTTTACATATGTCCCTCATTTTGTCTTTTCTGTTTATTCTGCATTTACAGTTTTTATAATTATGCTTTCAATTGATCATATTTTTTTTTGTTGACGTATAACTTTGCTGAAGAGTGGTGCTGCTTTTAATTTATAGCTAAAGCTAAAAGTTTTTCAAACTTTTAATTAAAACTTGTATTGTGGTATACTCAACTCACCAAAGAGTATTCATTCAAAGAGCATAAAATTTTATAAATCTTAATTTATACTTTTCCCAAAACAATGCTGAGATAATTTTAAATGGTGTAGACCTAGCAGAAAGCATGTTAAGTATCATTCAACCTCATCAATAAGTATCTTATTTTTCCAACTTAGTTGTAAATGTACTGTAGTATGATTGTGCTAACTCACATTTCATTGATCTGTAATATGGATAAATATTTTCCCCTGTGTTTAACAACTCTATTTCCTAGCAAAATCTAATGTATATTCGAAGGTTCCCTCTATATATTAGTTACTAATTTTTGTAGTAATTTCCCTAGCTAACTCTCATCGGACACACTTTTCATTTTTATGTTGTACATTTTCCTTGTCATCCTATTATTTCAAAACTGTGAATGTCATTCTTTCATGTAAGATTAAAAAAAAAGCACCATTTTATATTCTGCAAAAAGTGACATGTTGAAATTAAGTAATTTATTAAAATACTTTTTGTAGAAAGACAAATATATAATCTCACCTATAAGTACTCAACTCACTGAAACTGAGCAAAATGGTGGCTGCCACAGGCTGAGAGATGAAAGAAATGAGGAATATTGGCCAAAAAATAAAAATTTTCAATTATGAGTAAGTTTCAGGGATCTAATGTACAGCAGTGACCACAGTTAACAGTACTGGACTTCACACCTGAAAGCTGCTAATAAGTAAAGCTTTAATATTCTCCTCATAAAAATAAAACAAAATGAAAAGTAAGTGATATAAAAGATTTGCTAACCTTATGGTGAGCATTTTATGGATATATACATCCAATCACACACTATACATCTTAACTTACAGTGTTATATTTTTATTTCATTTCAATAAAATAGGGAAAAAGAACTTTTAGAAACTGAGCTCTGAAAATAATCCATATATAACAATTTTAGAACTATGGCTAATACACATCACAAAACATACATATATGTTAACATGCTATGTAAGCAAGCAGAAGAATACCAAAGTATCTATATAAATAGAAACATGATTTGGCATGATCAAAAAATATTCAATCTTTCCTTAGATTGAAATGTGCTAAAGCTGAAAACAGACCCATTTAATTTTATAAACAAAAGGGTTAGAAAAATCTAAGGAACAAACTGCACCATTATTTCACGAAGAATGCCAAGATTTCAATTTTGTTTTTCAGGAACTAAAATTACAATGCATAAACTGTACTGACTCTGAAATGGATTATGTAAAGGAGACTTTACCCTATGCTTTTATAAGTGTCAATTTAAGCCAAATTAAAAAGTATTTGAAGTCTTGTAACATTACGTAGAAATCACTTTAAATTAGTAAAAGTTTACAGTAAGGGCAGGATACCACATTCAGCACAGTAGTTATTTTTGGAAAGAAGAAATGGGGTTACATATACACCTATGGTAGGCTTCAAATATATCTACATTTCTTTCACAAAGATAAACAAAGTAAATATGGCAAAATATTAACATAGTAAATATGGGCATAGATACATAGTCCTTCTATTATAGTTCTTAAATGCGCTGTTACGGCTCTCTTTTTCCACATGCCTGAAACAGCTTAATGAGGTATAGATTTGTTCATATATATTTACCGAATGAATACAAACACTGGAAAAAGAATGTAATATAAACAGATCTGGCAAGGTATAGAATAAATATTCAGACACTCAATTCACAACCTGTCAGCACAATAGGTTCCCAGGGTTTAAGCATTTGAAAATTACATGTGAAAACTTACCCCTTTCTGTAATCTTTTCCTTAAGAAATCTGAACCTCCAGGTTTTTGTCCCAGATGAGGATACCTTGCTTTTAATTTTGCTTCTTCAGCTTTCTCTGGACTAGTCACTTTATCTTCCATTTCCTGAAATAATCTTAAATAAATTACTTCTCTATTACAAGTCAGTTATTTAAAATAATTTATCTTTTAATACCTGTATCCTGACTTTAGTTAGCGAATGCCAAACGATGCAGCATCTGACTAAGAAATCAAGCACAGAGCTTTTAAAACATCTCTGTCTTGTTTTTCAGATGATCCATGTGATAGCTCTATTATAGCTGTGATGCATGTGTAACACCCCACACACTGGATAAAAATATCCAGATAGCTCAGCTCAGAAGTCTTGCTTGCCATTACTTTCCAGTCATGTATAATACATTTATAGTTAGTCACCTTCTATGGAATTCATCAGCGCTTTGCCTATATTTAGAGAACCATTTTAATACAGTTAAAATGCTGCAGATCTTTTTGATCTCCTACTTATCCCCAATCATGAATGTCTGGAAGCTCCCGAGTCTAACAGAAATGAACAGTATCTTACTTACCAGCGTGATTTTCCAGGAATAAATCAATACAGAAAACCTTGCTACTTATAAAGGGAACATCACCTTCACATATGTGTTGTGTTAGGTGTAATTCCCCACTGCCATATTTAATGACAAAATGTGTTTGTTACAAAGGTCCTTTTCTCTAATGTATTAAAACACATTTTCTGCCTGTCAATATCTTGAACCTATTCACTTTTATCTTGAACCTATTCACTTTTATAATGTATTGATATAGTCTACTTTTGTCCCACAAGTCTTATTTAATAGTGAAGCAGTATCACCTTATGGCAAGTATTGAGGAGGAGTGAATTAAGAAAAATAAAGCTAACCTGGAAGTGGAGTTTGGACAATGGCTTTGTAGCTAATGAACTCATTTCTGCATCAGCTCAGTAACATTATACATCTCTGTGTATTTTAATTCTTCTAGACTATTTACGTATAGTCAAAAAGTGGAAATATTGACTATAAATGCTGTTTTTGTATAGCAAGGAAATAATTTTTCTGAATCTAGGGACTGATGAAACAGCTTCACACAATTTTTACATGCATTGTCTTCAAAACTGAATTCACATGATTCAAATCAATGTTCTTCATTTTACTATTGTTAGTCTGTCCTTCAACTTGATCGTTTCCTCAATGTGTTGTTATATCATCTTATTTTTTGTCTTGGAAAATTTTGAGAATAAAGCTGCTGCTGTCAACTATACTTTTTTGATGGAGTCTCTTATGTGTACTCTACTTTGTGCCTCAATATTCTACTTTCTTCCTATTAGGCTGCAGTTTCATGTTGATTTTCACAGTGGTTACATCATTCACACATTTCATGTACAAGATTCAACTATGTGTGTGCGCAACAAGAGACACTGACATTTTCAATAGTGTCGGTGATTCTAGCAGCCATTCCTTTCGAAAAGGGTATATACCCTAGAAGAGCACAAGTATAAGGTCTGCTTTGCAAATCCATTTCCAAGATGGTCTCAATGCCTCATGGCTTTCCAAATGTAAGCACAGAAACATATTATTTGTCATTCTAGTATTTAAAACATAATTGCCATCTCACCTGATACACAACTTAAGAACCAATCCAGCCATCTGTTCAAACACTGGTCAAAAGTAACTACTTAACCTACTGAGAATTGAAAGGGCAATACACAATATAATCATTTCAGATTTTTAATTGCAAGCAATTTTGCCTTTTTTAAGATGCAATTACACTGAATTCTTATAAATGTGGAGCTATAATGTCAATCTAAGGTGAGTTTAGGAAAGTGAGTTGGTTACACTAAAAAGTTCTCTGTGGGTAGATGCTTATATTTGAAGGGTATTTATAGAGTTGCAGCTCAGGAGACTTGGGAGGTGGGACTTATTGATACTTTTGGGTTCCCCCATAATGTAGTTATTTTTGAAATAGGTTGACTTGTACTTCTACACAAAAGATTTCAACCTGATTATAGCCTTTCAGTCTCAGCACTTTCAAATTAAAAGATGTTTACAGTCATGTGTTTCTACAACCATCCAGCCTTTCATGAGCCTGGGAGAAAAAGAGCTCTGTACGTGTCTCATTGTTTGAGTAATTAGTTCTATCTAAGAGAGATTCCTTAAAATTTTCGGTATAGGGTAGTAATTTTTCCTAGTTTCCAATATCACTGCCGTTTCTCCCATTTTATAAACAAAGGGAAAAGAGATGTTCACAATTTGCCTTCCTATCTGGCTTTCCTTATTTTCTTATATAAAGAATGTATTTACATGTGTTTGCATATAATGTTAAGCATGTTCGGATCAGTTAATATTGTCTACTACATAAAAAAATGTTTGAGGCGAAAAGGTATCTACAGCCAAAAACATCTCAGTTGACAAGGATTTACAAAGGGTCTTCAGAAAACAAACCAGTTCTTAACAATTTAACCAAATACATAAGGCAATGGCAAGTCCCTGCTAGTTGTACTTCTTAGGAGAATTTCAGCTGCATTTAAAAAGCTACTCTTTTTTTTTTAAAGGTTGCAAATACCATTAAACCTCCCACAATACTTTTTATGGATCATACAGAAATATGCTTAACCTTTTGCAGATGCAGACAATTTTAGTACCTTACAGATAAATCAAATGCTTGGTTGGACATTCACTAATGTTCTGTCACAGCTACAGATCTGCTGTGGAGTATAAATAACATGTCAGGTGGTAGACTGTGTTCACTGGCATTCAGTCCATCGTTACCCTTCTCTAAACACTCTACTGAAAAGCCAGAAGGCTAAACTACAGTCCCACCTTGAAATGGCACCCACCGTGGATGAAAAGCCAGGGAAAGAACCTATGTTTCTGGTAATGTCACCAACAATGTGCAGACAGCAATAACTCCTGGGGAAAGGGGCTGTTAAGGGATACTGTAGCAACTAGTTAAGTGGAGGTAGAAATGCTGAGCTCAGGATAGTGCTCATCTTAGCAGATCAACAGCTTTCTGCAATCCTTCACCCCTGGAAACACCACCTTCTCCCTTTTGTTCCTGTATCTTTTCCAACAGTCTGTAACCTAACTCCCTAAATAACATCCCAAATTACTTAAAACACCCGAGTGGCTTCCATTGATCACACAGGACACCGATAAAAACTGGTGAAGTAATTTTTCTTATAGTCATTTCAAAAAATGCAAAAATATAACGGACTATGATGAAGGGCCGTAGGTACTTAGGTGGTGAGTGTGGTAACACATACAAATAGTGTGTGATCCTAACTTCTAAATCATGTACAATGTTGTAAACCAATGCTATCTCAGTAAAACAATTCCCTCCCCCCAAAAAAAATTCTTTAAAAATGCTAAAAAGGACACATTTTGATGTGATCACTGGTTTCTGGATATCCTTCAAAGAAATTCCTAAACAATTATTTCATACGGAATTCCAAAAAAGGTTTGAGATACCAAAGAAAACTGCTGTACATGCAATAAGAAGTCACTTTTCTAAATTTACTGTATTAATATGTGAGATTACATAAGAACAAAAATAATATAGAACAGTATTTTTAGAGCTTAAGTGTTCCATGATCCAAAATAACTTTCATTAGATTCTCTATACCTAACACTAGGACTAACATTAGTTAGGTGCTTACATTTTTGGTAAACTATTCTGTGAGAATACATCAGCTACCCTTCTTTGTATTGATGGGCATAAACTATAAAAACATACATATAAAAAGGGCATTCAAATAATTAAGGATTTTGTAGTCTGTTATGAACTGATATGGTCTGAATGACACTATTTTTCAACTCTCAGCAGGGAAGTTAATACAGAGACATCAGCAATAAAAACCCAAGCACCACTCCAAGCAAATTCTCTTCTATCTGCTGAGCAACACTCTCATTGGTGCACTCACTGATTGATGAATAAATAGAAAAGATTAATGACAGTCAACAAATCCTTTGGGATATTGCTGGAACGTACCACAACTGTTATCAACCTCTATAGAAAAACGCTTTGAATTACATCCTTGCTATTTATCCAGACCCTGGAAGCTAATGGGTTCAGTAAAAATCTACCTATTCCAACTAGTTGTATAAACGATCCTAAGCAACTTTCTAAACAGCTGATAGTTTTTCATATTCTGTAAGATGTGGGTTCAGGAACATAAGTTGGTAGTTATTTAATTCTTGCAGAGGTTATATACAGCAAACTAACAATATAAGCAAACTGCTAAAATACTAGGAAACATTTTAAAACTTTTCTGTGATTTCCTTTTAGACTCCTAAGAATCAAAGATTGTACAGAAATCCAACAGGCATGTTACACTCTTAAAACACCCTTAAATGTTAGCCTCCAAAGGTAGAGCACCAGAGAAAGCCAGAAACAACTGAATTTTTTTTTTAAACCGGGAAGTGAAAATTTATAAAACTCTTTATTGAGGATATATGGAACTTAAATATTTCTTTCCACTTTTCACAAAAGCACAAAAAACTAGATTTTAATTGAGCACCTTACTGCATTTCAAGAATTTTGCAATAAAATCTTTAGAAAACCTGCTAATGAGGTTTTTTAAAAACAACGCAAAAGCAACAATGTATCTGGAAACACATCTTAGTCTTAAGAAGGCCTACATCAAGATTTTTACATAAATGTGGCCTATCTTTTTACGATTCCTACAAATAAAAGAAACAAGTGATTTGGCCCAGGGAAACAGTGAAATGACTTTGCACATTTCCCTTCAGTTTAGGAATAATAGTTAACTACATTAGGAGTGCTTAACATCTAAAGCCAATCCTAAATTCAAATGACTTTATTAACAACACACTTATTGTTATTGACAGGAGCCCTAAAAACAAAGATCCGGAAATAAAATTTTAATGTAGACATTTATAGAGAAAACTCTCAACATATTTTTAATGTTGATACATCAGGTTGTTCCAAATGAAAGCATTCACACTGTAGAAATCTACTTTGTACTGTAGCAACACACTAACAAATAAAACAGCATACTATTGTGTAAAGACAAGCTGATTTCTACATTTAGGGCAAGTTGCAGAGACAAAGTTTGCTATTTTTTTCTGGGTTTGCAAGTCTCAAGCAATAATGAACATT